ATTGTTTCATATCACTAGAAAATCTTGTAAAAATCTGACATATGGCATATGGTATTGACTGACGCGTATAGGTATGCTACTTTTAAAATTAAATTAGTCAAGTTATAGGGTCTAGAATTTTGATACAATCCGAAATGAAAGTTTTTGTGTGCCTATTAAAGTTTACGAGATCTACTTTTCCAAGTGCCTAGATAAAAGAAAAAAACAGAAATTATGAAAACTAATAGATTGTAATGTAGTGTATTGTAGTTCTTCGAACAGCTGATCATATTTTTCCGGTGTGCCTGCTACTTGGCCTCCGTCTGGGTCTGGGTTTTTCGTTTTTTGGGTCTCGCTTTGGCTGCTTCATTTGGCCCTGGCAACATGCAACAGCAGCAAGAGCAGTCGGCGCGATTTCTGTATGTCTATGCTCCAGCCTGCAGCCTCCAGCTTCCGAATGCCCCACTGCCATCCCCCAGCATACGTGCCACCCAAGGCACCACTTACCACCCCGCCCCCGTCCGAGTTGCACAGCCCCCCACAGCCCCCCTCTGAAATTCACCCCCTGCGCTTTGTGTGAGCCTGTTAGGGTCTGTTTTATTGCGCCATAAACACGCACTTAAGCACACACACACACACACACACACACACACACAAAACATAACCAAACACAAAAATATACACTGCGACTAAATATGGAAGTCTTCGCAATTCGATGCACCTGAACAATTCAAAGCAAAAACTGAAATGGATTAAGATTTTGTATTTATAGGAATTATAGGAAAGGAATTTTTGAAACATTTCTTATAAATTTAAAATAAAATAATTGTGAGCGACTACCTGTTTAGGTTACTTGTTAAATTTGAAAATGAACTCGTAATTTGATTGAAGACGTTGATTTTCCCCCTGTGTACAGATACTTTTGCATGTATGGCCTAAGTAGTCCCTGTCCTCCTGCCGCCATCTAGTCATAACTTTCGGTAGCTTTTGCAAATGTGTAGCCGAGTGTAAAATTTTGATTTTTCAACCTATACAAACAAAGAAGGAAGATTGAAGAGGGGCATACTGAATAATGGAGGGGATGTGGGGAGCAGAAGAGAGGCGGCCATTTCATAACGATTTGGAGCGCTTCTCCCGAAAACATCGGCAGATAAATAAACAACGTTAATCCCCAAAGGAATAAAGTCCTGTAAAGTTAAACAATCTCCTACATTTTTCACCGATGTAAAAATTAAATACCCAATTTATATTAAAATATCATCATTTAAGAAATTAAATATAATATGCAAGAAGATATATATATAATATAAAGAAGCTGAACAAGGACAATTAGTTAGCCTTCCTGGCTTCCGAGTCCCTGATCAAGCAGATTCCCCGTCTGCTTGGCCCTGGACTGAACAAGGCCGGCAAGTAGGTTCCCTGTATTGCTGTCACATCAGGAGTCCTTGATCGGCAAAATCGGGGAGGTCAAGTCGACCATCAAGTTCAAGATGAAGAGCCACGTGGTCATGAAGTCCGACGAGCTGGCCCAGAACGTCAACCTGTCGATCAACTTCGTGGTCTCGCTGCTCAAGATGAACTGGCAGAACGTGCGCTTCCTGCACATCAAGTCCTCCATGGGAATACATATTATATTATATATAACATAAATAACCAAAGAATCTACCATACTTTTGCCCGCCTCGGAGTTAGTGTTAACATGGTATTACTTTAGAAATGTTTTATTTTTTACGCTTAAGTGCGAACATGCCAAATCTAGTCAGCTATTTGTTTTCATTATTTTTGAAATGTATGAAATTAAAAAAAATTTTTGTAATATGCTTGAAGGCCGAAGAGAACGTTGTTTAAGTTCTCGTTTCGTTTTGTTGGTGGCAAACCTACATGAATTTTCCCCGCGAGACTTGAAGCATAATTCTCTGGTCTAATAATACGAGTAGGTCAAAGGACCTCAGGCTGAACGGTGCACTTCGCCGGGGCTTTAATGCATTTAGATGGGGCAAATGAGATGTCCTTGCTCCTGCTCCTGCTCCTTTTCCGGGCTGCGTTGCCAAGTGTCGTGCCATGAGAGACGCAAAAATCTCGGCATAAACTAATTATGTCTGCTTTTTAGGCGCTCAGGCAGGCGAACATTCGCACACATACGCACAGCCAAGTGAAGATATTGAATTTCCAAGTGAAATTTGCCTGCAGGAAAAGCTGCTGGCAGATTCAACAAGTTTCGCTTGGGTATATCGTTTTTACACCTCGCTTGCGGCCAAATTTGTATCGCCCGTTTTTTTTCCAGGATAACAAAGAATGTGTAGGTTTTTTTTTTGCCATTCTATTCCAATCGAAAGCTGAAGTTGTTGCCGCTGGGGAAGCAATTGTTTTTGAGTGGATTTTCAACTGGCCTCCTTGGCGATAATTGGTTATACTTCGGTTATCCTTCGACTGTTAGCCAAGTTTCACATGTCTGTTATGTAAGCAGGACTCTGCGAAAATAACAGTGTTTTACACTCCCGAAAGAGAGCCAGGATAACAGGGACGCTAAAAGTGAAAGAGAGACAGTAAATAAGAGTGATAGTAACCCCTGGCGGCGTAAGGACACTCTCTTAACTTAAATATAACAGTTTCGCTTATTCTTTTTACCGCAACCTTTCTTCTTCTTCGTTAATGGGTTTTTAACTTTAAAAAATTTTAAAATATTTTTTTTGTTATTTGTTAATATTCCTTAACATTTTGGTAAAAATATACATATATTTAATTTATTTCAATAAACAGAATCCTTTTAGTTGGGACACTTACCGCCCCGTATAAGAGTGTCCTGCCATTAAACACTGGAGCACTTGATTAGCGTCAATTTCATGTAACCCGACAATCAATTTTCATTTTCTGAACCTCTTTTTGGGGCGTTCTCTTATTCTTTCTCTTTCGACAAACGACGCACGCGCACAACAAAACGGACTTTATGGCTATTTTATAACAACCAAAAATATCTGACCGGATTTCGGAGTTCGTATAAGACTTTATTGTGAAAACAGACTTAAGGACAAAGGATAACCTCATGTAGCAAATTCCCGTATTTAAATCGAAAGAAAATCGTTATAAAAAATAAATATTCTATTCTTATCGTAGTTTTGTTTCGTTACATTTTGTATAACCACTATTTTTGTTTTTTGCTTCCAATTTTACTGTATAAAAAATTTGTTTCGATATAATCCCGTTATTGGTGGAACAGAAGTCCAAAGGGAGCTGTGTTTATATTGGAGAAGTAGCATTCTATTTTTACGAGCCACGTCAGGTATGTTTTGAAATATCCTTTTAATTGGTGCTGACTGCGCTCGTTGTTATCCAGATTTGGCCGTAAGCAGAAAATAAGTCAAGGTCAACAGGGAGGCCTGCTCTGCCTAAAAAAAACTGCGCGCAAACTTCAGCACACACACAGGCATGCACGCATAACCTCACACACACAGGCCTGCGTGCATAACCTCACACACACAGGGACATAACCTTTGGCCGTATCTAGGCGCAGGCGCCCCATCCTGGCAGCAGTTTTGTCGGCAGTAGCGGAGTCGAATTTAAGGAAAATTTCCCTAACGTCAGCAGCGTTTTTAAAGTTCAACAAGAATATCGTCGCCATGGATCACTAACACCAAAAATAAATTTTTTTTTTTCAAAATGAGAAAATGAAAGTATTTTTCTTGTATAATAAAAAAGAGGAGTTTTACAGAGTAAAACAATAAGGGCAAAAGTTATAGTCAACTAATTGTCACTGTTTATTCAAAAACTAGTACAAAAAACTTGGCCAAAGAGACACATAAGCCTTTTAGCCAGTCATGCGGCACGATACCCGAAGATATCCCTCGATTCTACCAAATCGCAGCTTCACAACGCCGTTGATGGCATCCCGACAGGTGATTTGAACCGGACCGCCAACCCGCATTCCATTCACGGATACAATGCCAACGCGACTCTCGTTGACCAAGAACAATCCCTTCTCGCCTAGGGTTAGGCTGGCATGGTACTTCTTTACCGACTTTAGGGGTTTATTCAGATATTAGACATGAGATTGGGATCAGTTGGAGAAACTCGCCTTATCGGAGGTGCAGAAGTCCAGACTCTTGTCGTCCACATTGCTGCCAATGCGCCACACTTGGTAGGTGTGCAACACCTGGGTGGGTCGATTCTTGAAGGTTATACTGGCCATATCGCCTATCCCAATTGTCCCGATTATCGGCAATGCTTTTGGGGTTTTATTTTTATTTTTATAATTTTTCCCGAGAGCTGTATTCACCTAACAGAGTCTAATTTCGATGTGCTGGTGATAACGTATTCGGTGACGAGATAGTTGATTCTATAGATTTTGGCATGGCCAACGTAATGCGGTTCAGATTTATCAATAACTACTTCTGTGGAACTAATGTCGTCGGACAAACGGAGCTGTCAAAAGCATATAGGACCGTTAAGTTCCTCTCATTTACCAGTAAATTCCGAAGACCCATTACCTGAGCCTCCAAAATAGGCATGGCTGGAAGCATAAAGTTTTATCCCTGATGTGATACTTCCTTAAGGAAATATCTCCGATTTCGGAGACTCAGGTAATGGGTCTTCGGGATTTACTTGTAAATGAGAGGAACTTAACGGTCCTGCTGGTCAAAGGCAGCATAAAAAATGTGTGCAAAACAGAGGATCCAGAATGTGAAATTTAGGTCGCAGATTTAATCAATCAAGAAATACCTAAAGTATATTTGCACTCTCGCCAGCCCAAAGTAGCAACAGATTTCAGCAAAGCGGATTTACTTGTAAATGAGAGGAACTCGAAGGTCCTGCTGCAGATGGTCAAAGGCACCACACTTACAGTGTGGCCGTACGCTGTAAATATCACGGTGAATGGTCGTTTGCGTGCAAAGGATAAGCATAAATAATTGATTTTCAAGATTATGTAGCTGTTAGCCAAAATGAATTCTGTGTATCTAAAATTTAAATAATACTAAAATGATAAATATGATAAATAAAATGATAAATATTTACTCACCGAACAGGTTTTTGTAAGGACGCACACGCGATTACCAAAGAGAGGGCCCGCACACCTTATCGCTTATCGCATACTTTTCGTAGAATATGTCTACAGGATTCCAATAACCAATTTTAGGTTCGAACAAACTCGCAAGAAAGTCTATTGGCATTTATTGACTGTGAACTCTGGACACCCAGACCCAGTAAGAAATGGACTCCCCTACTTCCGAGGTGGCCTCACCCTCGCTTGCGATGACTGGTCCATTCGTTGGACTTGAAGATCGCATCGAATCCTACGACTCAAATTAATTAATATAAACACGATGCAAATACATAATTGTAAATTATTACAAAAACTAAAAATAAATGTCTATGCCCAGAAATTCCTTCTGTGTAAACATTTCGGGGGAGCGTCCATTCCCGCGCAACATTATCCATTAAGTAGCGCGCTACATGGACATACTGTACTTGCCACAACCAACTATTCCAATTAGTAGCGCCATTGCGAAGACAGTGCGCAGAAACTGACGGGTAATCCGGCAAATATTTCAATCTTCATCAAGGGCTCCCTCAGAAAGGGGGAGTGGCACGGACTGTATATACATATATATACTATATATATCGAGATATCGGGATGCGGTTGCTTGGGACGTGTCACGGCGACTGCTTGGCTATAAATTTGTATTCAAAATGGATCCCCAAATGAAATTATCGACCACAGACAGATTTCAGACGTGGATTCAATTACAAGGCATGTGGGCACTTGGACACTGAAGGAGGCTTGTGTGGGTTAAGGCAGCCTGCGGGGGTTAAGTGGGGGAGGGGGTTTGCCCGGTTGGTCTTTGTCTTCTCAACTGCACAAATACATATGCATAAATTTCAGTCGCTATTTACATAAATGCGAGAGTTGGCGAGTGGGTGTGTTATGACATTTGCTTACGAAATGAACATCATTATCGGGATACTTGGACTTAACATTTGCCCACACGCGCTAATGTGCACTTTAAAAAACAACGGCAAATAATAAATGTGTTACAATAATAAGGTACAGTACAATATATTAATATATAATGTATAGTATTATATAAAATAGTAATGAGGTATAACTATAAATAGTTAGTTTTAATATGCATTGTATTTTTGTATCACTTTAAATAAAAACCTGGGTATTATCATTCAAACTATTTGGATAGTATTGCTGATCATATAAAAACTAGGTATTAATATTAATCTACAAGCTTTAGTAAAAAGGCATTACTGAAACCCACGGTTAAACAAATGAAATATTCAATTCGGAATGCAATACTGTTAAAGCTAAGTTCAAAAAATGTAAAATTAAAAAGATTAAAAAGATATTAAAATGTAAAACTGGCAAACTTATGTTAGCTCGTCATAAAATATTAAAATGTGCAACACATTAAGAGTACTTAACCACAATATAATCGGGGATTTGTGAAACATAGCAGGCTTAGTTTTTTTGAGTGCACACACGGGCACTTAACGGCCATTCCTGATGGTGGTTAATTAGCCACACAGATGCACACACCTGATGAGCCACTCCTTCTCTTCAGTTACTCATCTCGTAACGTAATTGGTCTGTATACAATTGTAATTATAAACCACTAATAAGATTCGAACACGAAGCGATTTTCAAACTGCGATTGAACGTGGAAACGCAGTGGTAAATGAACTCAACCCACCGATCCGATTCTTCACTCCCCCATCGAATCCTTTGCGGCCAATTTCTCCATACCCTCCTCCCTACCCCGACGATTTTCCCGCGTTCCGATTTTCCTGCCAGTTGTTTCGGCTTCGTCGTCGTTGCCACATCAACAAGTTAATTTTGCATCGGCGAATGGCGTGGGGGCCATCGGGTGTTTTTGGATCTCTGTGCTTCGAAATAGTCGCAAAAGGGGAGGGATTGGCGCTTAAGTGACTATTTAATGCGATTAAAATTGGAAAAGCTCCGCTTGACCGGGCCACTCTGTCGGACCCAAAGGGTAAAGGGTGTGCAGTGGGGGGTTAAGGGGTTAAGGGGTCACAGGTGAGCCCTGAAACCGGCGACTTCCAGATGCACAGCTTACAAATTGCATTTGCTTGTGACCTCTCAACTCAACTGGTCCATGCTGGCAAATGGAAATGATTGAGTTCGTGGAAAATCCAGTCAAAGAATATTAAACTGAATTATGCTCCAAAATGGACGAGAGCTGGAAAACTGGGTTTCGAATCAATAAAGCTTCCTTTCCGAAATCAATTAATGATTCTCAATGGGAGCACTGGGGCTAAACTGGTTCTGGGGTTTTGAAAGCTATGAAGAATGCGTTGGTTTTTAAATAAAATTCAAATATATTTTTGAAGCAAAAACTATTTTTTAAAAAAATAGTACATTTTGGTGTAAAATAACGATTCTTATAGTATGTTCTGTTCTCAAATGTTCTGAATTATCAGCTCTGTTTTCACAGATTTTTAGAGCGCTTAACGTTTAATTAGAAAATGCATTTCCCAAAAATAATTTTATAAGCACATCATACAAACATCGAGTTTAATTATTCACCTAAGATGCACTTATGCAAAAGTAAAAGATTCATTCCAATTGTTTTGAAAAAGATTTTTTCTTGTATAATAAAAAGGCGGGGCCACTCTGTAAAACAATAAGGACAAAAGTTATAGTCAACTAATTGTCACTGTTTATTCAAAAACTAGTACAAAAAACTTGGCCAAAGAGACACATAAGCCTTTTAGCCAGTCATCCGGCACGATACCCGAAGATATCCCTCGATTCTACCAAATCGCAGCTTCACAACGCCGTTGATGGCATCCCGACAGGTGATTTGAACCGGACCGCCAACCCGCATTCCATTCACGGATACAATGCCAACGCGACTCTCGTTGACCAAGAACAATCCCTTCTCGCCTAGGGTTAGGCTGGCATGGTACTTCTTTACCGACTTTAGGGGTTTATTCAGATATTAGACATGAGACTGGGATCAGTTGGAGAAACTCGCCTTATCGGAGGTACAGAAGTCCAGACTCTTGTCGTCCACATTGCTGCCAATGCGCCACACTTGGTAGGTGTGCAACACCTGGGTGGGTCGATTCTTGAAGGTTATACTGGCCATATCGCCTATCCCAATTGTCCCGATTATCGGCTATGCTTTTGGGGTTTTATTTTTATTTTTATAATTTTTCCCGAGAGCTGTATTCACCTAACAGAGTCTAATTTCGATGTGCTGGTGATAACGTATTCGGTGACGAGATAGTTGATTCTATAGATTTTGGCATGGCCAACGTAATGCGGTTCAGATTTATCAATCACTAGTTCTGTGGAACTAATGTCGTCGGACAAACTGAGCTGTCGAAAGCATATAGCCCGGTCGAACCCGGAATACATTCAGTTTGCCACCAGAGCTCGACTGGGGCACAACTCCCTTTCCGGAATAAAGAGTGAAAATTTTAAGTATAACAACTGGTGAGCTTCAAAGTGAACAAAAATGTTTTAAGAAAAGTGATAATTGTTATATTACAGACTTTTATCGGTACACACTTTCCACCCATTTCCATTGCTTTTCTTCTTGGTCGTAAGCAAAGAAATTTTGTGAAATGAATTTTTTAAAATTTGGAACGATAGGTCGATCAAGACCTTTTTCGTACCCATTACTACCCAATTAATCTCAATTGCATTCTCAACTGGTCACTTTTGTTTGGACTTTTGTTTGAAGTAAATTCTATGTGGTAAGTCATTAGATCTGTTCGTTTAATCATTCTAATATTTAATGTTCTTGATCCACAGCGCATTTAACTGTCGATGATACACAAGGGACGTTCGCCAGACCCGATTTATAATACTCAACATTTATAGATTTTCTCCTTCAGAGAAATTAGATTACAATAGACATTACACAACACTGAACTGATGGTACCGGTCCCGTTGGACTCGAAGCTCGCGTCAAACTCTACGGCTCTACAAAATACATTTCTTCAAGCATGATAAATGAAATCGGAAATCAACACACTTTGTTAAATCCTACACATTTTTAATGTCAAAGGGAAAATCGAAATGAATTAAAGCGAAATAACTAAAAAAGAATATTTTATAAATTACTTTGTTCATCGTTACTTAATAAGAAACTTGTTTATCCAATATACGATTTTAGCTGTAGTTCAATTTGAGTAAACTCGAATAGAATTCCCTTAGCCCCTTGAATCGATGACCTTGTCTAACTCTTCTACTCTCACCAACCACCCGTCTTTCCACCGCTTGAGCTGAGATTACGCGATTCGAGGACCATCTCCATCTCCGCATCCTCCAGCGACGAAATGAAAATGGAAATTGACAAGTGACCGAGCGACTGTGTGGAGGATGTGATGACCACCAAGAAGGAATGCACTCACATGTGAAATGGAAAAAATTATAATCCAAATAAGAGAATGCAAAAGGATGTGGCGACCGAACTTGGGGTCACAGTACAGGATCCGAGGCGAGTGCCCGGCTTTTCCGCACGGTGGTGAAAACCAGCGGGAGAAAGGAGAAATGGTGAGGGGATTGGGGGTAAATCGGGGATCCACCGGGGGCCTGGCAGGCTAAGAAGCCGGCGAAGCGGACCGAGGCAATCGAAATCGATGACGGATACGCTGGCAGGACAACAAGTCATCGGCTGCCCCGCAGATTGAGTTCCTGCTGCTCCTTGACTGCTCCTCGTGTGGAGAGCAGCTACTGTAGCCATTTTTGAAAATTTCTTAAAATTCAATAAATATTTATGAGTTGATAATACCAAAGGCACACACACACGCACACACACACACAGCTGGCATGGCCGCTTGGTTGAATTAAATGGATTACGGATAGACAGTGGTGGTCAAGAAAATAATTTGTAAACAAAAACTAATTGTATTAAACATAAAATAACTCTTATTATATAGTTATATGTATATATATATATAATTATAATATAAAATAAAATGCAAATTTTTTACAAACAGTTTTACGTTTTACAACTTTGGTTTTAGGAACTGTGCTTTAAATTTTATTTTTTTTTATTTTAATAATTAAACATTTGTTTAATATATTAAGGAAATATTTATTCCGCGTGATCTCTTATTTCATATTTTTAAAATATTTTATTTTTTGTTTTGGTGGATGGTAGGTTCTTTTGTCTAGAGAAGAATAATTAAGTATTGGTTAGGAAATTGTAGTTATCTAAAATTCTTCTTACTATTTGTGTGACCTCAATTGTGCAAAGGAAGCGTTCAGCGCCACGCACAAAATGCAAACACGCACAGCGGAATAACATCAGAGTGAGATGGGGCGACAGCGGTCGAAAGAGATGGGTATAGATGGGGCAAAAAAGACAGGGAAAGAGGGGGGTAGGAGGGGTGAAGGGGGGGGGGCGAGTTCAAAGGGCACGACAAGATGCTTGGTTAGCCGGCTTGTGCATCTCAAAGTGGAACGGAACACATCGCAAGTAAATGTGCATAATTCATACTCGAAGATATCCGTTTGCAGTTCGCATTAGTGGACAATCGGGTGAAGGACATGCCACGTGTGCCACAACTCGGCGACTTGAATCCATTTAAGAGCCCCACTTTTGTCACTGAGTCTTGAAATACGTAGATCCATATTCTCTTTTGATTGACTTGGAAATAAATATACTGTTTATGTTTATGCATAGATTAAATTATTAACTTTCAATTTTCTGCATTGGTTCTGTGCAAAAAAAATGTTCAAGACAAGTTTGAAATACAACGGCTTTTGAAATTTATATATATCTAAATACATATATTTAAATATTATCCTAAGAATATTATTATGATGCTGTATTTATTTAAACATATACACATAATTTCAAATTCATTTTTTTGTAGAATGATAAACATGATTTTGGGCGGAAATATTATTATTATTAGTATTTTATAATTTGTGTAATTCTTAACTTAATTCCAATTTTAAATTGTTGCTTTTTATGAGGAGTTTGTGGTGCGGTCCAGTTTTATCGATCACTAGTTCTGTGAAACTAATGTCGCCAGACAAACGAAGCTGTCAAAAGCATATAGCCCGGCTGAACCCCGAATACATTCAGTTTGCCACCAGAGCTCGACTGGGGCACAACTCCCTTTTCGGAATAAATTATAAATAAATTTTATGTGAAGCAACGGGTGAGCCACAAATTTAGCAAAATTTTAACAAAAAAAAAAAGTGAAATTTTCCTTACAGGATTTTATTGGTATATTAGTGAATAATACTGACACTTCACCATGATTTGGTTATTGCTCCAACAGAAGGGAAATTGGTATTTAAACCCTTCCTCTCCTACTCATTAAGTATTAACTAATTTCTCGATCCACAGCACATTAAACGATTGAAGGACACATAGGTTTAGGGTAATGTTTTCCAAGAACTTTGTCTGTAATAAATAACGAACTCGGATTTTCTATGCCCACAGAGTCCGCTCTATGCTTTTACAGGCTGATGGTACCGGTCCCGTTGGACGTGTGGATTGCATCGGCTTTTAATCAGAAACTATATGTATATCTATTGTAAGAGAAACAAAAAAAAAAAAAAAAAAAAATATAACAGATTAAGTTCACGCCTTTGTTTTTTGTAAATGGAATCCATCGAAAAGAAATTATTAAAAAAGTTTCTGATCTGAGAGGTTGTTCTAATGCCGCACTTCAGGTCCGGGGTCCTAAGTCATCGACAAACACGTCGAAAAAGATGAACAAACTTTGCCAAACAACAAAACGGGGACCAATGCACAAACTTATGTATAACTGGAAGGGTGGATAGTTTGGAAAGCCGGTGATTGAAATGCTCTGGCCCTCAGGGGAAAATAAGGTGACAAAAGTTGAAGCAATTCTTTATGATCTAGGCTAAATTAAATTTTGTACAAATTAATTACAAGAGGAAAGAAAAAAATTACAGAAAAAATATGAAGCATATATTTTATTTAAGCGTGAACTTTTAATATAACTTTTTATTTATTTAATTAAATTTACCAAAATTTTTCAAATTTGTAACCAGTTTAACCAAACTGAAACTAAGTTTCTGAAACAAAGGCCCGATCTTTAGGGCTTGTAAACCATATTCCAAAATCGTATTATCCTATGTCAGGGTATAAAAAACGTCGAGCGAAGATGGCTTAATGAAATTCTGTGCATATTCTGGCGCACGCACGCCCACAACCACGCCCACCCGCCCCCTCATCGGGGGGCTTTCAGCGTAACAGTAAGTTCGTCCTGTTCGTCCTGTGCGATTGTCTTTCGTCTCCGTCTGTCTCAAATAGTTGGATGGAGGAGGAAGCGAGAGGTGGCGGACGTGATGTTCATATTTTCATAGATTCAATAATTCATAAATTTTATGCGCACACACACACACCTACATAGCTTTGTTGTGCGTGTGTGCGTGCGTTCATTGATCTGCGCTGATTTCAGCATCCTTCTCGGAATGCCCATGTCCTGTCTCCCAACTTTTATTGGCATTCCGCTGTCTCGAAACTTTTCGAAATGCGGAGGATCCCCAGGAATCTGAGGGAGAATTCCACAACTTTTTTAATACAAAGGTGAGCTACAAATAATTTGGTTAATTGACAATAACAATACTTTAACTCGATTATTGAATTGATTGATTAAATAGTATTTACTTCACTCATGACAAATGAGCCTTATTAATGGTTTGCCCTTTTATTTAAAAAATGTAAAATATCTTCATTAATTTATTAAAATAAAATACAACAAATATTCTGTTTTTATTCGCATGACAATTAAGATGAAGGGATGTTAAAGTATTTATTTGTTTGAATATGAAATATTTTGTTATTCTGCTTTAGTCAAATAAAAAGTAAATAAATACGTTACAAATGCCATCCCTTCAAGGAAATAGACTAACCATGTTATTGGCGTCCTTTGGCGAAGTTCTTATGATGTAACTTGAGTGTGGAACATAACTGGTCACAAGTTGCAGATCGTTGAAAGGCGTCTCCATTGACTTTGGCCAAAGTGTGCGATGAGTTGGCTAATAGTGTTGCCTACTTTTCCGGGCGGCCGAGGTGGGCGGAAAATTCTGGCATTCAGGACATGCGAGAAAACATGCGAAACACATACGACAACGGCTATGATGTCGACCCCGTCGACACTTTCTGTTTTTTAACTCAATTTTCAATAAAAACAGTGCACAAAACTTTTTCCTCGCTGCTGCCTCACTTTGTTGTTAACTTAATTTCGTTTGGCGCTGTTCAGTTGGCAGTTTCGCAGGCTAAAAGCATTTCATTGTTGTCCAACTCTTTCCTTATCTTGTTGTTGTTGTTGTTCTAGTTATTGTTGTTGTTGCTGCTGCTGCTGGTGCTGTAACACACCCAACACACCCAACACCCCAAAAAACACACCCATACTGAAAAGGCATTTTACACGCACTGAGAATTTCCACTTACATCGACTGCAGCCTGCAAAGAGAAGAAAACCCTGGGAAAATGGAGTTATCGCCGATTGTGGGTGTTCGTTTTTAAACCTTACAGACACACACACACACACAAACACAAACACGCTCGCACATCTCGAACCCTTGCTCGGATTGCTAATTGAATTGATCGATTGCGATCCCCCGAAAGAGCCTTTGGCAAAGGAGGAGAATCCAAAGGAGCACTCCGCTGCCTTTGACTCCAATCCATTTTATTTAGAGTCCAGCAACGGTAACCCAATATTTTCCGGCTTTTCCTTGTCGCCACCCATCGCTCATTATGGGCATATTTGTATATTGCACCCTAGGGTGAACCTCTGCCAGATGGCATTCGAGCAATTAAAACGAAGTTTATTTTATAACCAATTCAATTAGGAAATAATATTTACTTAAAACTAAAAAATATTACTTCTGTCTTGGTATACTTTATTTTATAGAATATAGTGCAAGGTCAAAATATTAGTAAACATTCGTATTATTCTTCTAAAATGTACTATAAATAGTTAGAGTAAGTTGTGTAACGATATTTATTTTTTTTGGATTAATTTATTATGATTTTAATTTGAATCTTCACTTTATGATTGTATACTAATAGGTCAGGATGTAATTATTATTTTATGTATTATTATTACATATATTATTATTATTACATATATTGTAATGTAGGTATATATTATTTCGACGTCAAAACTCTTCCACCGTTGTTTATTTATTAATGTTCAGGTCCACTCTGTTGTGTCCACAGCGATGTTATTGTAGTCATTTTTAGCCACTAATCACTCTCGAATAACAGGCCAGCGGCAGCGCCATAATAAAAATAATGATGTGACATAAAAACAAATTCCTCAGTACAATATGTGGCAGTGCCTTTGCTCTTTCGTCCTTTATTCTTTATTTCGGTTCTAGCTCCCCCACTCCCAGTCGATGTATTGTCATAAATCTTTCATTGATTGCAAACGAAGACATCGTGGAAGTTGAAGTGGGTGTTGCGAGGTATTGGGTGTCTGCTCGTTGGTGGTTGCTTCTCGGTGGCTGGTGGCTGGTGGTTGGGGATTCGTGTCGTGTGGCAAAATAGAAATTGTATAAAGCGGCCAAGCTGAAATAGATATAAATATTTTAGCCATCGTCGCCAAGGCAGCTGGCTGTTGCTTTTCTGGTTCCTTTTTAGTGAGCAAGTACCCTAACATTCGGCATGGGTTTCATTTCGAGGAAGGTACAGATTAATTTGAATATATCTTTAAATTATGTAAAAATTTAAAGTCTTTAGGCTGAATTTGTGGTTTTGGTGGACATGTCAGAAATTAAAGGATAGCATATAAATTTAATTATTTTGTTATTATTATGTGCTTTTTATAATAACTTTTAATTTAAAAATTCCAAGTTTTGCGGGAGTTGTAAAACAATGTTTTTTTCCCCAATATAACTAATATATTTCTTCTTAACAAAATAGTTTTACAATAATTAGATCTGAATCAGATAAATTAAACAGAAAAACGAGATAGATAAAAACATGGAATATCATGTATTAATTGCTATTTATTCGAAAGAATTGAGATTTAGTAAACTCGAAGGTACAAGTATGTTCTTGAAATAATCGCTTGGAAATTGTAATACAATTCTGTAAGTGGAACTATTAAACTGCAGCAATAACCAAAATCAACAAATAACATGCCAATAAGGCAATACTCTGCTATTATGATATCATATTAAATTTTAATTTCCAAAGAAGGGGTTTTAGTGATCCACTTAAAAGTGTGGTTGGTTAAAAGGGGCTTTTCCGATTCGTTATATTTTCCACGTATGGCTTTGTTTGCCAGCGAGTCCTCTTTTTGTGTTCGTTTATCTTGTTTATCGTGGATTTCATTATGGCTGTGGTTGCGTGTCTTTTGCTTTGCGGTGGCTTATGCCGCCATTCGATTTTGAAAATGTAAATCTCTTGTCGTCTCCGTCGATGGCGCTCCTGCTCCTGCTTTCGCCCGGCTTTTCCTCAGTTTTCCCCCTCCAGATTTTCCAGCTTTTTCCCGGGCTTTCCCCGAAGTTGGCGTGGCAAGATGGTTAGATGCGGCGTAGATGGTAAGATGTTGGTGTCGCCGGCATCGTTTGTCAACATGTCGGCAGCGCTGATTGGTGATTTTGATCTGAATTATTAAGTTGCTTTTAATGCGTTTGCTTTTGGCTTCGCCTTGGCAACGCAACGATTCTTCGCTTTTCTTTGGCCCACTTTTTGGCCCCGCAACTGGGAAAATCATTAGGCAATTGTCGAGGCATTTGCACTTGTTTACCTGCATTTCTCTAGATATGGTTTACGAGGTTGCCATCGAGCACTTGAGCTCTGAATAGGCAGACAAGCAAGATATTGAGGTACTTTGCAGTTTTTAAAGCCATTCTGCGATTGCTGTTTGGAACACATTAACCAATTTATTTGGTGCTAACTTCAGTTGATTAAAGGCAAAATATTGACAGGTTTCTTAACTACAATTAAATTATTCATTTGGATTAATAAATATTACATTTTATTCTGATTTGAGAGCAAGTTGGTGGGTTTTTTTTATTAACAGAAAAGCAATATGCAATTAGTTTGTTACAAAATTTTCATGTTATCAAAATGACTATCTAAAAATAAGCCAATTATTTTCTCTGCATATGCAATTCATAGTAAATAAACAAATCAAAGTTGATTTTGTTTACTTTCTGTGCTTAATCAAAACATTCAACGTAAGTTACGAGCAACTTGTGTGTATGTTTTATCAACAAGCAGTAACATATGAATTATAAATTGTAATTGGTAAACATTCAGGTATTTTTACTGTTTATCAAGTATATAACTATATGTATTCATAAAGAAATCTTCGTTGGTTTGGTCCACTTTCGCCTGCCGATGCTAATCCTTATTGGCGCATCGCATGTGAAGACTGCTTAGTTTGTTGGAGGGAGGAGGAGGGAGAAGGGTCCTTTCACCGTCAGGACTTCATAAATATGCCAAAACGGACTCTATCAAAATGCCGGGCAACCGCTTCGGTTTCGGTTTCAGTGTCCGTAAAAGGAGCAAAAGCGCCGCAAGTTGAGCAGCAACTAAGCAAGTAAATTGAGACACAACGGACACGTGAGTTTGATAGATTGAAGGATGTGCAGGAG